GCAAGTCAATCTTGGAAAAGCATTTGGCACCTTGTAACTGATCGAATAAGTCATCAATCTGTGGAAGAGGATATTTATTCTTTATAGTGATTTTATTTAGTTGTCTATAGTCAATACACATCCGCAAGGATCCATCTTTCTTTCAAACAAAGAGCACTGGGGCACCCCATGGGGAAATACTTGGCCTAATAAAGCCTTTATCGTGCAAGTCCTTTAGTTGTTCCTTCAATTCTCCTAGTTCTGCAGGTGCCATTCTATAGGGAGGAATCGATATAGGTTGCGTATCAGGAAGCAAGTCTATAGAGAAATCAATTTCCCTTTTTGGGGGAATTCTTGGAAGATCATCAGGTAATACCATTGAAAATTCATTCACGATAGGAATTGACTGAAGAGTCATGAGCTCCTTATCAATATCCTGTACATGAACTATATGGTATATGCAACCTTTAGCAATCAACTTCCGAGCCCTAAGGTATGAAATAAACTTACCCTTAGGAGTGGCTGAATTACCCTTCCACTCAAGGACTGGCTCACCTGAAAAGTAAAATAGTACTATCTTCGCACGACAATCAATATTAGCATAGCAAGCTGCTAACCAATCTATACCCATGATAACATCAAACTCTAGCATAATCAACTCAACTAAATCAGCGGAGGTTGGACGATCATTAATTAGTACCGTGCAATCCTGATAGACACGACTAGCTAAAATAGAATCGCCAATCGGTGTAGACACCTCAACTGGTTGTGGCAACAACTCAGATTTCTTGTCAATCTTACTAGCAATAAATGGAGTAATATATGAAATTGTAGAAACAGGGTCTATCAATGCGTAAACAGCTTGAGAAGATATCGTCAATATACCTGTAACAACATCAGGGGATGCCTCTGAATCCTGTCGTCCTGTGAGTGCATAAAAGAGATTCTGACCACCGCTCGAACCTGTATCTCCTTCACCTCTCCCTCTACCATGACCCTGAGTAGACTGTGGTCCTGGTCGTGGGGCACGGACTGAGGGTGAAGATGTTGCTGTGGATCCTGAAGGCTGCGCTAGAACACCTCTGCTCAACCTCGGGCACCGAGTAATAAAATGTCCTGTCTGCCCACAATGATAACTTGCACCTGAACCCTGTCTACACTGCCCAGTGTGCGGCTTACCACACTGTGTACAGTGAGGAGTTGGATGTCTTACCTGTACGGAATGATCCTGTCGACGACCTTCAGGCTGGCCTGAGCTCTAACCTAGTCCTGAATGACTATAACGATCAAACCGCGGTCCCTGCACCTATGGTGAGACACTACCCGCTGCCCGAGGTGCATATCAATGGAAAGGGGGCCAAAAATCACCATGTGGCTCCCTATAAGACCCCATAGTACGGGCCGTCTTACTCTGCTCCCTATCCCTGCGTGTATCACGAATCCGTTTAGAAAGGTCCTCTGTAGTCTGAGCGAAAGCCTGTACGAGGGAAATATCTACATCATCTGATAGGGATGCTACCCTACAATCTCTGATCCAATGATCTGCCAAACCATCAACATAACGATGAACTCTGGCTCTCATGGTACGTACAATATCTGGTGCATATCCTGCCAAAGAATTAAACCTGTGGCTATAATCCCCCACACTCATGGTTCCTTGATTCAGATTGATAAATTGGTCAAGACGGGCCTCTCAAACTTCCCGTGGCAAGTAGTGGGCAAGGAAGGTCTCAGAGAAGTACTCCCACTCTGCTGGTGGAGCATCAGGTCCTCTAGATCTCTCCCATGCCTCATACCAAAGGATGGCTACATCACGTAGCCTAAAAGAAGCCAACTCCATAGCCTCTGTGACGGAGGCATGCATCACCCTCAATACTCTATATATGTGGTCTATAAAGTCTTGGGGATCCTCACTAAGACTAGATCCTGTAAATAATGGAGGGGCCAAATGAAGAAACTCCCGTACCTTCGAACTTTCTGACCGGTCTCTCTAAATATCTATTCCTGACTCCAGTTGTCACTCATGAATAGTAACCATCCTAGTCAGCAACTGAACTACCTTTCTCATCCCCTGCTCCATAGAGATCTCTACTGGAGAAACAATAGGTACTGGAGGTCCTGTGTCCGTAGCTTCCTCAGGTACAAATGGAACTGGTGAGGTTGGGGGTACTGCATCTCCTCGGGCTTCAGTAGGTTCCGAGGAGGCTGGTACTAGGGGTACTGGAGATACACCATGTACCTCCGAGGGAAGTCTATCTCTTTGACCTGGTTGGGGAACAGCTAGTACCTTCCCTTAGATCCATACCTATCTCTCGATATGCCATATCCGGAGCGAGTGTAGCCTATTAGATAAGAAACATAAAGCACGACTTAGATTTCAAATGCTCTTATACTTTTGCACTATATCACGATATATCAGTTTAATGAAATCTAACCATTCCAAAATGCCCTGTAGCCTCTTGATTGTAAGTGTGGTGCACAACACACTCATAAACAAGACTCTACTAGACACGGCTTGTGGACCCCCTAGGATACGACCTGCTCTGATACCAAGTTTGTCACGCCCCGAAATAAAGGCGTAACTGGCACTCGATACCCTAAAACATCGAGTTACCCATTGAAACATAATAACTAAACCAAACTTGTGAGGCAAAAATATTGGGCAGCACAACCTCTGAAAAGTGAAGCCTTGACCCAAAGGTCATAACTTGAAAGAGAATAACCATACAAGCAATGGTAGACAAACCATAAAAATAGATAAAGATGTACTATCTAGCCGACGAGGCCACAACCGAAAACATACCTACTTACACAAACACCTATATATGCATGCCAAGACTATTGGCTGGAGGTTGAAACATACAAAAAATAAAACCCAGAATATTGTGTCCACAATAGCCTCTATGAGTGACATAAGCACTGTGGGGACAAGGCCCCGACTATACCTAAACTGTACAACAAAAGTAAACATCCGCTTATAGCCCCAGGATAAGATGGAGCTTACCAACTCACAACTGAACCTGAATCCTAGCGGGTGGGTCGATTAGAGTCCCTTCCTGTACCTGCCCGCACAAAACAAAAAGCAGCGTCCCTAGGCAAAGGGACGTTAGTACGAATAAAAATGTACTGGTATGTAAAGCAAAAAGTAAAATCGTAAACATTTACTGTAAAAGGGTAATAGAGATACCACCTGAAACTGAAACCCAAATAATCT